CTTGCCCAGGGTCCCACAAGCTAGCAAGTGATTGAGGCCAGATTTTAACTCAGAGAGATGAGTGAGTCTTCCAGACTTCTGGCCCAGCACTCTGTCCACTGTGCCCCCTAGCCATTCACTAGGCATTCTAGCACTAAGAATAAGGAGGTTGGAATACTTAGAACAAATACAGACTCCCTTCTTTTCTATCGTCTTTCTGGAAGGCCAGCTAGCGTGCTAGCTGGAGACAAACGGTGCACACTGAGCAGCACTGTTCTCATGATTGGAGAGAGTATTGGGAAATGCACCAGGAAGTTTGAGTTTATGTGGCTATGTGGCTATGGCCAAGGCTCAACCTTTGGGTGCCTCTGTTTCTGCTCCTGTGACATACTATAGTACTTCCTGTGCTGTAAGAGTTGCAAGGATAATATAACACTCACTAGCTGTCTTAACTTTTCGCAAGTCACTTAACCCTAAACCCACTTAACACCAAAAAAAAAAAGAGTTGCAAGGAAAAAGTGAGATTGTAAGTAAATGGGAAAGCATTTTGATGGTACAAATCCAGTTTCTTATATTTTATTTTTTAATAAATTTTTTAGTTTCATTTTTTTTTGTTTTTGGTTACTGGGTCTCCCTGTCTTGCTCAGGATGGAAGTGCAGTGGCCACCATGCTAGGTAGTACAGAAGCTTTAACCTGCTTTTTCTTTTTTCCAGCCTGAGCTGGATTGCCCATCCTTCAGCAGCCTGTGGCCCCCAGCTCTCTGTGGCTTATCATATTGGTGCCAGATTTAGTGCAGATACCCAATTGCCTTTATCCTGATTGCAGCTCAAAACTCCTAAACTCAAGCAAACCCCTAGCCCCAGGGACAACAGCCAGGCACCGCCATGCTGGCCTCATCCAACTCCAATCCTGATTTCTCCAGCTTTAATCCTACAGTAACTGCCCCTTTATCACTCACTAAATCTTCTTAGAGCTGCCCTCGACTCAGGCCAAATGTGTACTGGAAAAACCAGGCAGGAGTTAGGTGTGTGATAAGGCTTTATTGGATTAAAAGCCCATGTGTTTCTTTTCCTCTTTCCACACCAGGAATACCAGCTGTGTGAGGAGTGGGGCTGCCTCTATCCTATTCCAAGAGAACATTTGATCAGCTTGAACCAAAAACATCTCCTCTACCTTTTAGAGAGTGGAGATCACGAAAAAGCCCTCCAGGTAAATCCACGTCTGTTTGGTTGGAAAAGAGAGTGAGCCAAATCTGACATCAGGTTTCACTTTAAACTCCACTAAGGCACGCTGGACAGATTGCTGAGTCAAAAGACACTGGATTCAAGTCTTGCTAATGATACATTCTGGCTGAACAAGCATAGGCAGATCACTTCACTCTCAGTGATCAGATGATCAGATGTTACAGCTGAGCTGTTGATCTGCCTTAGTGAAGGGAATTTACATACCAGGAGGTTTCCCCCTCCCCATTGGCATGGGGGGGGGGATCACAAGTCCAGACCAAAGGCTGGTGGGGGAGGGGTGGCTGTAAGTGCATCAGCAGTTCCAGATCTTTGCTTCGTGCAGAAATTAAGAACATGTTACATAGACACATTGAGAGGACGTTGCCCAGCTAGCTTTCTCTATAGAAGGTACAGCTGGCCAGCTGGATTCAGGAATCTACTAAATACTGGGCCATGGGAGGATTTGGCCTAGATAGTTATGGTTGGCCACAGGGTTCACTTTCCTCTCCTCTCCATCTTCCTTATAGCTCCTTCAGAGAATCTCTGACCCCACCATGCGCCTTGATGTCACGGAGTGTTCCCTTGACCAGCATCCCAGTCTAGCTGCCTCTCACTTTTTAGCCAACTACCTCACCACTCACTTCTACAGGGAACTGACAGCTACTCGACACTATGAGATCCAAGCTCTGTATGTGGGGTCCAAGGTAAGGAGAGTATTATATAAAGTTTATACACATAAGAAGACTGCAGCCCTGTGAAGGAAACACTCCGAGCAGGGCCAGTCCTATCCAGAGCTCAGAAATAGTCTTTGTGATATTCTACATTTAGGCGTCAAGCCCTCTGCTCCCAGGTACCTGCACTTAGGTTCTTTGTACACCCTCCCTTCACTGCCTGAGGCCCTTATGAGGCTTCCCCATCCAGATCTGTCTTCCCTAGATGAGTCTTTGCTATGCCACTGGCCACGGGGAAAAACTACTTGATTCCCTTGGATTCAAGATTCCTGTGGTTTCTAGAGTCTCAACTAATGAGTCATAAACTAATCTGTTGCCACTGAGAAATGTGGGGTTGGCATTGGAATATAAAGAAGAGTCTTCTGGAGACTATGTACCCACCTTTCTGGCTTTGCTTAGGGAAATGATAGTAGAGGGAACTTCAGACCAGCCAGGTCCTATCTTAGCTCCCCTTAATAAAAGGATTTGTTGTGTAAAATGTGAACTCAGTTAAAAGGCCACACCCAAGGAGCTAGAAGGCCACATGTGACCTTGAGGGTGCAGGTTCCCTACCCCTGAACTAGGAGGTAATATAATGTGAGACTGATTTTAAGCACTTGAGGTTCTCAGCTTATACTAAGTAGATGGCTACCTACCTATGTGTAGTACTGGGCCCATTGGTCAGCACCACGTATAACCAATCATGAAGATAAGTAATTGCCCAGAATTAAAAGAGTGAGCATACCTGACATTATCATAATCATCTTCTCTTCCTATCCTTTTTTCTTCTTTTGGTTCTAATGATAATCTGTATGCGGAAGTGACAAGTGGGTTATTGTTTATTTTCTCAACCTAGTGATGTGAGGGAATAATACTTAGGAGTGGGAGTTATTAATATTGATCATGTGGGTGGAGTCAGTGCAAATATTTTGAGCCCTGTGATTTTGAATATTTGCTTGATTCTTATTTTTATTTATGTTGGGGAGATTGGGTGAATCACATTTAATCATGAAGGAGTTTGAGACTTTGGCGGGCAGTTTCTATGATGCAGATGTAGACATCACAATGCATTTTAAACCAACAAATGACATTTTATATGTATAACAGTTTTATATGAAAACTGAAAGTCATAATTATGGCATACATGATGATTCAAACAAATACAGACCTCCAAGTGTTACCTGTCAGATTAATATCCTGTTAGGAAGAAGCCTAAAAAGACTATCTTGTTTCCATCTCAGAAGCCACAGTTTTCTGTGTGACCTTATGCATCCTAATGCCTCAGTTTTTCCATGGCTAAAGTGATGGCAATGTCTATCCCATATATCAGCAGAATAATATAAAGATTCACTGAATAATTTAAAAACAAACCATGTTTGGAGCCCTTTGAGAAGAGTCTTGAGAATTCCTTTAGATCATTAATGTATGACTGAAATATAACTTTTGGGTCCTGACTTAGGATTTCATTGGCAGAGGACATTTCTGTTGCACAGACTTCCTTTTACTGTGCAGATAGGCATCTGTTCTGCAGGTGTAGTCTTAAGAGACTTGCCTGGGACACTAAGAGATTAAATACCTTCCATGGTCATGTGGCCAGTATGTATCAAGATGTAAGATTTCAACAGAGGGCTTTTTGATTGACTGCAAAACTGATTTTTTAGCCTCTATTCCACAATGCCTTTCTTTAGCTTTAAGTACAATAATGGCTCACATTTCAATGGTTTTTCTGCATTTTTTTTAAAGGCTTCCTTCATGACCTCCTTAGGTAGTTTATATTGACCATGGGGAAACCATTGACTAAAAGATCCAATAGCTTAGTTAAGCCACCATATATAGTCCAATGTGGTTGAGCTCCTCCAGTCTTCAGAGTGGCTGAGACAGGTGGTTGAGTCACCATTTCAGCAGAATCCTTTCTTCTGGGTCTGGAGAAATTGGGCTGTAGCATTAGAGATCCTATGGGTCTTGATCAGAATTGGGGTTTTCTTCTCCCAAGAGAAACCTGTTGGTTGTTCTTTTTTTATTATTAATTTATTTTTAGTTATCAACAATCACTTCCATATGCTTTTGAGTTTTAAATTTTTTTCCCCTTCTCTCTCCACCTCCCTCCCCAAGACGGCATGCAACGTGATATAGGCTATACATATACATTCTTATTAAACATATTTTCACATTAGTCATGTTGTAAGAAGAATTAGAGCTAACAGGAGGAACCATAAGAAAAAGGAAACAAAACAGAAAAAAAAAAGAGCAAATAGTATACTTCGATCTGCATTCGAACGCCGTAGTTCTTTCTCTGGATGTGGATAGCATTTTTCATCATGAGACTTTTGGAGATGTCTTAGATCCTTGCATTGCTGAGAAGGGCTAAATCTATCAAAGTTAGTCATCGCACAACGTGGCTGTTACTATGTACAACATTCTCCTGGTTCTGCTCACTTCACTGAATATCAGTGTATACAAGCCTTTCCAGGTTTTTTGAAGTCTGCCTGCTCATCATTTCTTATAGCACAATAGTATTCCATTACATTCATATACCAGAACTTGTTCAGCCATTCCCTAATTGATGGGCATCCCCCTCAATTTCTAATTCTTTGCCACCACAGAAAGAACTGCTATAAATATTTTTGAACATGTGGGTCCTTTTCCCATTTGTATGATCTCTTTGGGATACAGCCCTAGATAGAGTGCTATTGCTGGCTCAAAGGGTATGCACATTTTTATAGCCCTTTGGGCAGTTGGTTGTTCTTATGGGTTGGATTGCATTCCACAGGCCTTCAGTGTCTCCCTAAAGTTCACGTATGATCATCCCTCCTGTGATCAAACTCCCGCACAGGTTCTGCTGACTCTGCCTGAGCCGTACCGGGCCAGCTACTCCCACCTGTCTTCCAGCCCCTTACTCATGCTGGAGCAGCTGCTGATGAACATGAAAGTGGACTGGGCTACTGTGGCTGTGCAGACTCTTCACAAGCTGCTGATGGGGCAAGAACTTGGCTTTACCTTGGAGGATATTGACGCACTGCTTTCCAGATATGCAGAGAAAGCACTCGACTTCCCATATTCATTGAAAGAAAAGCGATCAGGTAGGGACTGTCAGTAGCATGCTGTGGTCTTGGGATGGCAGAGGACCAGTATAGCCATGCTGCACTTCTAATCGGCCCCTCCTTTGTTTCCCTGAGTTGCTGAAGGTCACAGAAGGGTATTTATTGTGCAGGAAAAACCTTGGATTTGGAGCCCCTGGTTACAAGAGCAGGATTGCTGGGGTGACAGTGTGTGAACAGTGAAATGACATGTCTGCTGCTGGCATAGGCACAGTCATTCTTTAAGTTCTGTCACTTCCAGAAGCACTCCATCATATCATAATTCATTACTGAGGTACAAACAGCCTCTTGGAGCACTGAAGTAAAGTGAAACCATTACTTGAAGCAATCTGGGTTTCATCTCCAGGTGGAGCATCCTTTCAAAGTCTTGACACCTCCTTTGGGCATCTTGAGACTTGGTTTAGGAGAAGTCAATGTTCACTTTTGTCCTCTAGCTAAAGGTTCAGCTCTTTTTGCTGAAAAGGTACCAAAACAAATGTTTTCATTACCAGAGGGAGGGAACCTATATGCTCCTGGGTTATAGGGGATTTTAACTCTCTGTATTCTCAAGAGAGCAGTGAAATGTTCATCACCCAAACTGAACTGGCTTTGAGTTAATTTATCCCTTTACAGTGAACGAGGGTACATTTTTTTGAGCCGTGCTTTTAACAACATGTTGTCCATAATTTACCTGATTTTTAAAAAATTTCTCCTCCTTAGATTCTGTAATTCACCTTCAAGAGATTTTTAATCAAGTATCAGAGCCTGAGACCTGGTCTAGGTCAACATCAGTTGAGTTGTCTGCTGCTACTTTTCCTGGTAAGAAAAATTTCTGAAAGTTTCCCTTGTTTTTTTCCTGTAATGCTATCTTAATATTCCTTTTTTTTTTTGCCTCTTTCTAAAAAAAAAAACCTCTGCATCTGACATTCTGTAAGTTATTCTTTCAAGCCCCGCATTCTGGGTTTGATCTAGCTTTCTATACCAGAGATGGCAATTTATGAATCTGTTAATGGATTTAGTGAATGCTTTGAGGACTGTTTCTCACTATCCAGATGCCTAATTAGAAAACCAATATGTTTTTTCAAATGCACTGGAGGGGCAGCTAGGTGGCGCAGTGGATAGAGGACTGGCCCTCAAGTCAGAAGGACCTGAGTTCAAATCCATCCTCAGACCAAATACTTGACACTTACTAGCTGTGTGAGCCTGGGCAAGTCACTTAACCCCAGTTGCCTAGAAACAAACAAAAAAGAGAGAGAGAGTCAAACTCACTGGAAAGAACAAGCATTAGGTGAGCTGTAGAGACTAAATTCATCTTGATCTGTTCCCCTAATTCATTGAACTAAGGCAAAAAGATGTCTCTACAGAGAAAGCTGAACTCTTTTCCATTCATTACCAGGAATCTAGAAGGGAGGGAGCCTCTATAAACAGCCACACTCCTGGAGCCTGCATAAAAGAGAGTATTTCATGAGTTTCCTCAGATATTCCTTAAATGTCATTATTATGCCATTCCCATGTCATTCCCTTATTTCAAAATCTTCAAAGATTTCCCACAGCCTTTTGGCTCAGCTCTAAACTTTGTTACCAGTGTAAGGCCTTCTACATTCTAGTTTCAGTCACTTAACTTCTAAACTGTAAAAATAGAGCTTAGGCTATGATCTCTGAAGTCCCTTCAATCCATTGATACTACTTTTACAAACTTAAATCCCACCATTCTCTACAAAAACCCTCTGTTCTAGACTGTGGGCTTTGAATTGCCCTTATCTGGAATGCCTTTCCCCACCTATTGTATGTTCCTGAATCCTACCTGTTTTTCAAGGTTGGTCTTAAAGTCCAGCCCTCCTCCGTTAGATTTTTTTTTTAGTTGCCATAAATATTAAGATTTATTCATGCATTTTATTTTTTTTCTTTTTTATATTTCTTTTTAACTTACTGGATAAAACAAGCATTTCCATAACATAGTATGATAAAAAAGATGATTGCATATGAAACTGCAAGTCTTCTATGCACAATGTGTTGTTACTTTCAAATATACAACAAATTTATCATGTCAATTTTTTTTCTTCCTTCTCCCCCTCCCACTCTAGAGGTGGCCACCATTAAGGCACATATAGGTGTATGTATATACATAAATATATGTATGTGTATAGATAGATAATTACTCTATGCATACTTGTATTTATCAGTTCTCTCTCCATTAGATTTTTAACTAACCTCTCTGGCCTACAGTTCTCTCCTTTCTCTAGTTTCCTATAACACTTATTATCTGTACTATTTATTTAGCCTTTAGATATTTCCTTAAATTATCGTTTTTTAAAGTGTGTTTATGCTTTGTCCAGCAACTTCTCAGCTACATCATCAACACCTTAAGAAGAGGGCCCATATTTTATCCTCCTTCATAACCCTTGTGGTGCCCAAAACAGTATCCTTATATACAGAAGTATCACATTTACTGCCAGCAGATTAAAATGTAATAGGGAAATGTATAACAAAATAAGCAAAACACAGATGTTAGTTTGTGGTTTTCTAAGTCAATATGCAGCCACAGGAATCCATTTCTATTTGAGTTTCACGCCACTGCCCAAGTACTTTATAATATCTCGCAATATATGGCTAATAAAGGCAGCAGACACTTGTGGAGAGCCCCAGGCTGTTTTCATCACAACATTGCCCCTCTGTTTTTCTGTCCCAGTTCTCTTCATATACAGACATCTGAACACTGGATTAAGAATCAAAAGACTTTAGTTTTAGCCCCAGTTCTGATTCTTTCTAGCTGTGGGACTATAACATCTCTCTAAGCATCAGTTTCCTCACCTGAAATATGAGGATAAAACTCTACTACTTCACAGGATTTTTATGAAGAAAGTGCTTTGTAAACCTGAAGAAGCAACATAAATATGAGCTATTATTATCTAATCCCAGTTCATACTAACCATGTGTCCTTGGGTTAATCACTTAAGCCTTCTAAGCCTCAGTTTTTCCATCTGTAAAAAGTGAAGATAATTATACATGCCCTGCTGATTTCATGGTTGTCAGTAACTATGAAACAAATGATGAGGTCTCCAAAGCATTTTGAAACTTGTAAAGGACTCTTTTGTAAATGTAAACTCATTGTCTGGACCTGGCCCTACCACTTGTTAACCATGTGACCTTGAGCAGATTACTTACTCTTATGCTCTAATACCATTATAACCAGGAGTCCTAAATTCTTGACTCTGTCACTCACTGACTTTCAGACCTGGTACAATTTATTGTTTATATCTGTTTTCTCATTTGTAAAACAAGAATGATAATTTTCTTTTCTATAAAGATAAGATCAGGAAATTATCCTAAACTCCTATTCCATAAAAGTAAGCTGATGGTCTCTTCTCAAGCTTTTGCCTGGTCACTATAATAAAAAACGTTCCAGGAATAAAAGGTGTCCCTTATCGTAACCTTTGCCTAATCTGGGTTACACATCCAAGTTCCCCCTTATAAGAGAAAGTGCCTTATGAACTATCTTTTATGCCTCAGAACTCTGAAGGAGTTAAATTTTCCAATCAAACACTGTCCAAAAATGATTTCTCAATTTTATGAAGAAGGGGGTATCGTAGAGATGGTAGCCCAGAGGAAATCCCAAGCCTAACTTGGTTTCCTAGACCTCCAGTCAGAGTTCTCCTGACTTATTCTAACTGTACATGTATATTGTGGAAATCAATAACAGGAACCTCTGCCTTGCTGCTCTGACCTCAAATCCCTCTTTAGTGTCCTGGCTTTGGTCGAGTAGCACTCAAAAACCTTACCACATTGGGACTTAAAAGCTGTGGATTAGCAATGTTACAATATACAGAGGTACAGTGTGCTTAGTAGATTTGCAGCTTTTCATCTTTGAGGTGGTATTGAGAATCTTAGAAAGATTTTTTTTTCCTCTATAGTACCCAGAAAACTTTGCTCTGAATGGGACCAAAAAAGCAATGACTATGACATTTCTCACCATATGATAAATGATATTTCTCTCAAAACAGATAGCCAACACAGCCAAGTAGAAGTTCTAGGCTAATGACATATGGATATGGCCTGGCCCACTTAGCCCTATTCAAGCTCTAAATCTAGTTCTTGCTTTTCCTCTGACCTTTAGGAGTCTCTTTTGCACGATCTCCAAGCTTAAAGGAGAGAAGCTTCCAAGAGAGTGATCCTTTGGAATTTGTGCCCCCTGAAAAACCCCCAGCTAGGCAGCAGTGGGTGCCAGATGAAATGGAAGTCACCTGCATGGTGTGTAGAAGTGAACGTTTCACCATGGTAAGCAGCTGCCTGCTTCATTTCTTATGAGATGCAGCTCAGCTCAAAATGAAGAGACCTATGTTGTAGTCCCAACTGTGTCACTAACAAGCATTTTCTTGTCTAAAAATGGGTACAACAAAACTTATCTACCTCGCCCTTTGGCCATAAGGATGAAACAAAGTAATAGATGGGTAAAAGTGCTTTAATAAAGTATTATTATTGAGAAATATAGGTTATTTGATTGGTTTTGTTGATCTGGTTGGCACAGTGCCTGGCACATATAGTAGGCACTCAATAAACATTGATTGATTGTTTAGTTGAAAGCTATTGTTAAACAGAAATGTGGATGTCTCTTCTTTCCTACTGTGTTGTGCCCACCAGAAGGTAGAACTCGTTTTCATGATCAGCCCAATGTTGGAGAATCTTTAATGAACTTTGAGGTTTTTCCCATCAGCTGAAAGAGACACTCCTCTAGGGCAGGGACATCAGATTGCATGTATTTGCTTTAGCACCAAGACCACCATGTCCTATGAGGACATAATAAGAAATAACTGGAGGAAAGAAGAGAGGGAAGGGGAGCCCATTGACAGAAGTGTTTATTAATCTCCCCATCTCCCCTTTCCTTTCCCCTTCTCTCTATTTCTTAGATTAACCGCCGTCATCACTGCCGTCGCTGTGGCAGGCTGGTGTGTGGCTCCTGCTCCACCAAAAAAATGGTCGTGGAGGGCAGCAGAGAGAGCCCCGCTCGGGTGTGTGACCAGTGCTACAGCCACTACAACAGATAGTGAGTAAGGGCCAGGGCAGTAAGGGCTCTGCTCCTTCCCCTGAGCCTTCAGGTCCCCAAAAGCCTGCTTCTCTGATACCAGCCCTGCTCAAACAAATATGCAGTGACTTCTGGAGCGAGGTGTGTGTGGACTCATAGCAGAGCAAGCTCTCCATAGGAGGGACTGATCCTTTCCAGGCATGATGAGAAGAAACATTTGTTCAGGGTTCCTGTCATGGATTCCTCCGTCACAGGAATTTATTTCTTCATCCTGACCCCAAGAGTCTGTTCATTGCAGTTAGTGAAGCGACTAACTCTTTATCCACTGGAAGCAGTCTCTGCTTCCTGGATCCCACCTGACTGAAAAGGACAGCTAGCTTCATGGGTGCTTAATTAAATGTTAAATTGAATTAAATGTTTCTTATCCCAGTTGGGCACCACTTGCCATGTAAAATCCAACTAGATAATATATGAAACTTACTTTGTAAACCCTAGTGATATGCAGATGTCAGTGTTTTTAATTATTGTAACCTTACCTGTGCCAACAACCATGACTACTAACTCATAGTTTTTAAAAAATCATCAGACATGCCGGTCACACTTCCCTAATAAATCTTCTATTTGGCCTCACATTCCAAAAAACCATGAGAACCTCCAGAGTTCGATATTCCTGGTAGCATAGACTGAGTCTACATCTCTGGCTTTAAGTCTGTGTTGAAATAGGTAATCTGTGGACAGCATAGGGGATTCTTTCATCAAAATAATGACTAATTCCCTTCAACTGTCAGAGAGACAGTACATAGATGAGAAAGAGCTCTGAGTGTAGAGTCAAAGCATAGGTTCAGATCTTGTCTCTAATATTTGTTATCCAAATGACCTTGGCCAAGCCGGTTAACTTCCCTAGGCCTTAGGTTTTTTTGTCTGTAAAATGGGAGTTGGACTAGATGGCCTCTGAGATATCTTCTAGCTTGAGATCTATGATCCTGTGATCCTTTGAACTATGAGATACGTGATAGGCAATTTATTTTTCTGTTTCTATTTCCAGTTTGCCAGAGGAGAGCATAGGACATTTAGAAGGTGAGCCTGAAAGATACTCTAATCTTCTTATATTGGTTTTTAAACTGAAGTTCCCTGTATGTTTAGGGCTTATTGCAATGAAGACCTCATCCAATGTGCCTATCAAGGACGTTCTCTTCCTGCTGCTGTCAGTCATTTATTTAATCCCTGAGCCCTCTCCACGTGCATCTGTTTCTTAACTCAGCAGGTTCTTCCTAGGGTATTTAATGACTGTCACCTTCCCCGAGATAACAGGCCACTTTTTAGTTGTGTAGTCCTCAGAACAGATGAGCTAAGAACTGACCCAAATTCCGAGTTGAGGTTGCACAATTTTAACTTCCATTCTTAAGTTCCCACAAACCAGAGTTAAATGGCTATGGGGAAACAAATATTTATGTATCTCACCCTGAGTAAATGCAGAGAATCAAATTCCTTGTTATTTACTACTGTCTATGAAGCACCAAAGTTCTGTATATCTCTTTCAAGAGATGCTGGTCCCTTCTCCCAAATTCTCCCAAAAGAAGGGAGAAGGAGGTCATTACCGTAATCAAATGTCTGCACTTACTGTCAGGACTGATCACCATTGGCTGTGCTCTGACTGACAGATGAATGAACGGTATTTCTCTCCTCAGCCTCAGACAGCCCCTCAAGTGAGAGCCCCCCCTACTCGGCTGTGGTACGAGTCCCCAAAGCAGCTCAGCTGGAATGGACTCTAGATCTAAATGAGGAAGAAAATGATCTGGTCCGGAGCGAGTTCTATTATGAACAGGTAATGGCAAGGTGTGGGTGACAACTGGCCATGCAGCCACCAGTGCCCTGGAGGAAAACATAAGGCCAACCAGAGAGAGTTTTATACAGCGGCCTTTGGATCCCCTAGATTTATTTTAGCTCCACTGTTGCTTTACAAGAGGATTTTTTTCCCCAAGTTCCTTCCCCTCCACTTCACTTGGCCTATTTGTAAAATGGAAATAAGTCCTCTCTCTCGGCAGTATTTTAAAAATGTTTCAGTCAGGCACTGCTTTCTTCCTTTTCCCCTGGCTAGGCCCCCAGTGCCTCCTTGTGCATTGCCATCCTGAACCTGCACCGTGACAGCGTTGCCTGTGGCCATCAGTTGATTGATCACTGCTGCCGACTGTCCCGGGGCCTGACCAACCCCGAGGTGGATGCTGGACTACTCACAGATATCATGAAGCAGCTGCTCTTCAGTGCCAAGATGATGTTTGTCAAAGCTGGTCAGAGCCAAGACTTAGCACTGTGCGACAGGTAGCCTTGTTCTGTGGGCCTGGAGGGTTTCTTTCTGTATCTTCCACTCCCAATTATCTAAACACCCCCTTCTTCAAACAGATAGGGTTGGAGGGGCAGCTGGGTGGTACAGTGGATGGAGCACCAGCCCTGGAGTCAGGAAGACCTGAGTTCAAAACCAGCATTACAAAACACAGCTTACTAGCCATGTGATCCTGGGCAAGTCCCTTAACCCTAGTTGCCTAAAAACACAACCACCACAAAACCCACATAGGGTTGGACAGAAAGCCAGCCCACTCTGATTGATTCATGTTAATGAGTTAATTGCTAAATCCTATGCGATTTCACTTCACTCTGTTTTCATATCAGTATCTATATTCCCATACTGAGTCCCCAGGGATAAAAATTTGTATCAGTGAGACTAGAATAGGGAGAAAATACAAACCTTGATTTTGGAGTTTAATTAGCATTGTAAGGCTCATTCCAGTGCTTTCTAGTGCCAAGGAAAATTCACTCGGTCTTGTCTTTTGCTAAAAGCTAAGACCACGTAATATTAGAGTCTTATAGGTAGGTGTGGTAGCTAATGAATTATTTTCATTTTGTGAATGGAGTACCAGTATCAAATGTGTCAGGTTCTAGACCTTTTGTCACAGACAGTAAGCCTGCTGTGTACCTTAGATTATAAAGGCAGTGTGGTGTGGTGGAAAGAGTGCTGCTTTGGATTTAGGAGAAACTTGAATTCATATTCCACCTCTGAAGCTGACCAGCCATATGACCATGGGCACGTAACTTCTCTGTGCCTCAGTTTACTAATCTGTAAAGTGGAGGTAATAATACCTGTAAGCACCTACCTCACATAGTTATCATGTGGATCAAGGGAGCTATATGAAGGGCTTTGTAAACGTACAGTTACTTTATAAACATCAGCAATTGTTAGAATCTCTGCCTGCAAACTAAAAGCACACCAGAAACTAATTTTATAGCACCACCTACTTGGCCCAGAGCATTGAGTTATAGATTCAGCGCGGGAGAGACATGGAGACTTAAAGCCATCTAGCAGTAACTGTAGGTAGCTGAAATGTGGTCCAGGATGAAAAACAAAGAGAATGTCTTTCTTCAAATAACATGCTCACTGTTGACTTAGTGCTTTTAACTCACTTTATGATCTTGGGCAAGTCATTTGGGTCTCAGTTTCCTCATCTTTTAAATAAGTGTGTTGTACAAGGTGATCTTTTTAAGATCCATCCTGGTATGAAAATACTGTGAATTCTTGAAGAGATAGCTATTGCTTCCTCTAGAATAAACCCTAACAACCTTTTTTCTCACATAATAAAAATATGTGAAGGACTGGTGATCATGAAGTACCCTGTGTACAGCCTCACAATAGCTCAGAATCCCTTCCAGGGAAATCAATGAGCAGCTAAGATCATAGACTGATACAGGGTATAGTCTGCTACTAGGAATCATGGGTTCACCCAACTGGAATCAGGAGGCAAGGAGTCCACTGGCAGAACAGATCAGAAAGGACGTGTCCAGCAGTATCAGACAGAGCAGGATCGACCTGTGGGCTCTCTGCTTTCTTATCAAGTTGGAACAGTCCCTGTCTGTCAGGGATGGGGCCCAAGTGAAAGATGGTTGTAAGCTTGAATATGGGCCTGCAACTAGTCAAAGCAGCAGAACCGAGAGGCCCATGAAAGAACTTCAGTTGAGCCAGGCAGGAGGCTCAAATCTAAAGAAAGGGGTAGGGAGACTCTAAAAAGAACAGCTGGGAAATTAGTGGTATCACCTGGGTACTAGTCTGAAAGAGAATCTAATCTGATAGTGATCCAGGTGAGGGCATGGCTGAAGCAAAGCGGCCAGCAGAGAGCACACAGACCCCACCTTCTACATGAAGCCTTTCACAGTCCTCCTCAATGTTAGTACCTTCCCTCCAAGGTGATCTCCAGCTTACCTTGTTTGCAAAGGGCTGTTTTCATGTTGTCTCCTTTAGACTGTGAGCTTCTTGAGAAAAGACTGTCTTTTGCCTTTCTCTTATCCCTAGTGCTGAGCACAGTGCCTGGCATAGTAGGTGCTTAGTAAATGCTAGTTGACAAACTGACCTAAGAAGGAAAACCTGAGACTAGCTGCTGCAAAGGCTTTGCTTCATGCTCCTGGTGACCGTAGCAGAAAATGAACGCAGGAGCTCAAACAGCAGTTATTCTAGGGGGAGTTCTGTGTCGATTTCATTTCCATGTCCCTTTCTTCCTAACAGCTACATCAGCAAGGTGGATGTACTGAATATTTTAGTTGCTGCTGCCTATCGACATGTCCCATCTCTGGACCAGATCCTGCAGCCAGCTGCAGTAACAAGACTGAGGAACCAACTTTTGGAAGCTGAATACTATCAGCTGGGTGTTGAGGTAAGAGAGGAACACAGACTGCATCTAGCTTGTGAGAATGAATTGCCTTTTGCTAGTCTCAAAATTCACTCTTGTCAGTGCTTCGTGGGAGTAGGTAAGTTTTCTGAGCAGAGCCAATGGCCAAATTGGCATGGTGGAATTTTTTTTAGTTTATACTTATGTATGGGTAAAATTGTTAGTGTCAGGGGAGAGATAGAAGACTGGACAGACTAGGGGAAGGGATATTCAGAATGCATGCCATCTTAGGGTGGGGGGAGGGGGAGATGGGGTGAAAATTTGGAACTGAAAAACTTATGGAAGTGAATGTTGAAAACTAAAAATAAACAAATTTATATTAAAAATAATTTTTTAAAAAATTGTCATCATCACAACAAACCAGAACCAAAATCCCAAAACTGCAACCTAAACCCAGTGCCATAAATTCTAGAACAGTGAGGATTTATTGAGTAAGGGAGCCTCACTCACACACAATTATAGATTCCTGAAGGAACAAAAGAGCAAAGTTTATATAGGTTTCATTTTAGACAGGAGGCAAATTGGGTATAGGGTGCCTTGGGATTGGACAGGACTTTTGCTAGGCTAGTAACAGGAAAGACTACTCTTCAGTTTTGCTGTCTCTTGTAACCCTACCCTAATAAACAGGATTATCTTTGCTATTTCAGTAGTAAGGAAGGTCACAGACAGGATGGGAGTTGCAATACAGGGTCAGAGACAAGATAGAGGAGCTATAGACAAAATAGAGTTACTTCAGCTTCTCAGCTACCCACTTCCCCCTTTGAGACTATAAATAGTCTTACAATTTTTTTTTAAACAAATCCCAAGTTGATATCAGTTCAGATAAGCAGCTTACAAAATAGATAACGTACACAGAACTAATAAAACAAGCAAAATTACAGTAGGGTGAATAAAGAAAACTAATAGAGCTGCAGTTGTAAAGGTGTCAAGTGCTTTGGCAGTGTCCATGATCTTCAGGTGTCTGTGGATGGTTTGTGGAGGTAGTTCCTTGACCACCAGGTCAGTTGTAGAAATTCTCTTGGTAATGCTTCTAATGCCTGCTAGTGATAAGACTTAGCATAATTTAGTAAAACTTGAGAAAATCTAATCAAATTGTCCTTCCATGTGGTGAAAACAGGTTCAGACCTTATGGAGATAACCTTATAAACAACAGAGCTATAGAAAGATCAAGTAGGCTACACAATAAGTTATCTTATACTTGTATCCCATTGTATCACTTCAGAGATGCTAAAGTATTACAACAACAAGATTCATGATATAAAAAAATTATCCTTTTGCTTGCTACGGTTAGAGAGATTTCCCATGAAAGTAAGAAACAGGGAGATGGTTCTAACAGCCTCCAGACTGTTCCTCCAAGCCTAAGCCTAAGGGCACAGAGTGACTTAATGTAGAAATAATGGGATGATGCATCCTTAGTTCCACTTGATTTTAGGTAAGACTTTGTTAACTTTTTGGAACAGCCAATCAGTCGTACAGCAAAGTTCTACGTTATTCACAACACATCATAGCCAGGCTCAGTATTAACCAGGTGGAAACATTCTTGTTTAAAAAGGAAATAACACAATGAGGAAATTGATCCAAGAGAATCCTACCTTTGCCTACTCAAGGTTGTCCCCTCAACTTTGCCAGACACAGATATCCACCTGTAGTAGTTCTCAGATCACCCTCCCTTTGAACAGCTTGTGGAATTTCCCTTGAATGGTAGATTACTGACTTAATGATAATTCAGATATTTATACCTAAATTTAGAACTTGGAACAATATCAAATTACAGTCCCAAAAGATTTTACCTCAAATAGCAAGTTTCACTGATCATAGCCTAGGACTAGAGAGTTATTATTTCTCATGTTGTTGCAGTAACAGTTAACAATAAAGAATTTACCAGGCTTTTAAAAAAAAAGATTCATTCAACATCCTTTTCTTTTTTTTTTTTCTTCTTAATTTTAAACTCATCTGGGTATAAAAATAAATCATTACAAATTAAGAAAATAATCACATTCTGGAATTCCACATAGATAGCAAATAGCTCACTCAAAACCCAGAAAACTCTGCTTACTTATTATAAGTCTCTAGAGTCTAGACTATCAGATACCCGTCTATCTAGGTATAGATATTATAAATTTGTAAGGCAAAAATACATCTTTAAGTTGGCTCAAGATATAACTTCAATATATGCTGTTCCAAGTATGATTTCATGACTCCCATAATCACAGATCATCATATACATCACTTATATACCATAAGCAAATTTATAAATTGCCCTCCTTTGGCAAAGGATTTGTGATGGAAGAAGGAGTCTCATTTTCTTAGAAAGTCAGTTCATTATTTTAGAATTTCACAACATTAGCAACTTACTTCACAAGGCTGATAAGATTTCAGGACTTTATCCAAGGACATGACCCAAGAAACCTGGCAAGTTTACAATAAGGAGATTTTACAAGGTTGTTTTCTTTTTTCCTTTTCCCACAAAGTAAATAATTATTATTCTTCCTTTTAAAAATATTCCCAATTAAAAACTTGATAGGTTTTAACATTATGACAATAACCTCTAAGAACTTAATAATTTTACAGTATACAGATCAAAAGAAGTTAGATTTTCCAATGATACGATTGCAGTATCTTAACAGCATTTCTTATACAATGGTGTCCCAAATTTTACAATCCAAGAAAATTTAGAAATACAATAATAAAATACACAGTGTCATGTATTTAAAACATGAAACAAAACTTTGCCAGTCAGATGATACCAATTCAGTTGAACATATTTCCAAATTATCTTATATAAAAAGTCACTTTGTTTTATCACTTTTAGCATTCTATGCTGATTGCATTCAAGACCAGTATAGAATAATTTTGATCCATTATACCTGTAACAAAACTTGTACTTTCAAAACATACTCCCTTAATTGCAAATATTAAATATCTTTTCCATTGAGGCGGATTTTATTTATAAAGGGTGAAAGATCACAATTATCCTAACAGGAGAAAACATTTCATTTAAGATGAGAGCTGAATAAATTAAAACACACTTGGATACATAATTACAAATAGTATAAGGGTCATTTTACTACTAGCGCTTACTAGGGTCTGCTACTTTCGGTTAGTCTACTGCCAAAGACTTAAAGTGACAGTCTCGTATTGTCAGCCCCGTTTTTCTAGGATTCATGAGGATCTTATAGACCTCACATAACAACTAAAATATACCTTTCCAGTGGTCCTGCATGGACAGAATTTTGGCACACTATCCTCAAGTAATTCCATATTGTTACTTGTTACTAAATTTTCCATATCCTAAAGAATAACCACACATGTCTTTCTTATCTCAATGAGATCAAAAACCTCCCTCAAACCTCTTTCCAGAACTCCAAACCTTTGACTTTTAAACCTTCCATTTACAGTCAGTGCAAACAGATTCCAATTTTCTTTAATTTTCTATACATTCTTCTCTCATCCCTATTTGTTTAAACTTCCTTCCTTTCTTCTTATATCCTTCCAGTAGACTTTGATTAAAGCCCTTCAAAATTGCCCCCTTTCTTATTTATTTTGTATTCTGATCCAACACTTCTCTTACATAATTCAACCTAATTCCTCTAATTCTTTACTTCCCAATCATATTCCACTCTATAGAACTTACCTTTATTTCATTGAATTTCTCCAGGTTTTTAGCGCAAGTTTTTAATTATGCAATTCTAATTAATTGCAACACTGTTACCATTTTTGGGTTCTTAAGAGTTTGCAAATGCATAGTCATTCTTATTTCTTTTAGGTTACTTTACTTCAAGTTTACCTAAATAATTACATTCTGTTATATCCTTCACAGAAGAAAGTATGGTGGTAACATAAAACATTTTCCCAAATTAAATTTTACTTACTTTTAAGTTGCTTCCTTATTTAATAAGAGGCAGTTCTTCAGTACCAGATAAGTTTAAACTGCAAACTCATTTTTTTCCTTCACTTTGAAACTTCAGTTTTGAATTAGCTTCAGTTCTCTTCTTTTTTTTTCCTTTCTCTCTAATCGGCAAAGAACCTTCTTTCTTTGCACTGAAACAATAAATCTGTCACTCTGCAGGGAAAGAGTGATAAATGGTTTAGGTGCAATATCTATGTAACTTTTACAGAGTTTTCTTCTTATTTTTCCTTAAATTCTGCTTAGCGGTACCCCAAAACTCACTTGGCCAGAATTAGAAATGCAGAGAAAGACTTTCTTTTAAAGGCTGAGAAAGTCCCACAGAAAAGTTTGCATTCTTTGCGACCTTTTTTCCTTTGTCTGATTAGATCACAGGAAGAAGTCAGTTATATTTTAGCAAGACACAAAACACAATGATAACAACATACTGGACATTAAGTACAAACACTTAAATTGAAACAAAGACAGAACAAAAGCACTTTCTGGTGAAATCTTTTCCAGTTAATCCAAAGATTTCATTTTCTAACTCAAACCAAACGAAACCACCAGTTTGATCAGAAAGGGGCAGGGTGGGGGTGGGGGGGTGGGAAGTATTGCCATTTGTGGATGGGAGGAGCATGGCCAATCCTCCACATACACACACACACACACACACACACACACACACCCCTAAGTACAGATACTTACCAGATTCTCATCACCAACCGTAATGTCTATCCCAAGCAGAGCAGCCCAAGGCATTCCCAAATTGTGACCCCTGGAATTCCACTAGTCTGCCTAGGAATCCCATTGCCTGCCACCATTTACTGTGGGTAAAATTGTTGGTGCCCCAGCAAACTAGAACCCAAACCCAGTACCATAAGTTTAGCAGCCAACAAGGGTTTATTGAGTTTGCTAGCAATGGAGCCCCAGCCACACAGGCAGAGACTTCCCAAAGGAACAAAAGGACAAAGGCTTTGATTTAGGTAGGAGGTGAATCGGGTATCAGGTACCTTAGGATTGGACAGGACCTATTACTGGGCTAGCAATTGGAAAGGCTCTTCTTCAGGTTAGCTCTATCTTGTAACCCCACCCTAACAGACAAGACTGCCCTTGCTGTTTCAGCAGTAAGGTCATATATGGGGCTGGGGGCGGGGTGGGGATGGGGGAATGGAGATGTTGCCATACAAGCAGGAAGAGGGGCAAGATAGAGGAACTGCAGATGAAATGGAGTTGTTCTGGCTGTCTTGGCTACCCACACCTCCGATGAATAATTTTTGCCTCCAGGTGTCCACAAAAACTGGACTGGATCTCACTGGTGCATGGCATGCTTGGGGTATGGCCTGCCTGAAAGCTGGGAACCTGACAGCAGCACGTGAGAAGTTCAGCCGATGTCTCAAGCCACCCCTCGACCTCAATCAGCTAACTCACGGCTCAAGGCTGGTACAGGATGTAATTGAGTATCTGGAGTCCACAGTAAAGCCTGTCCTATCAGTGGTAAGAGAACAGCAAGCAGTTCAAAGAAGGAGACGTCATTGTGGTATCATAGATAGAGGAGTCACCTTGACTTTCAACTCACTCTCTCTAATCACATGTTTAATTATGCATGTATCTTATTCCTCCATTAAACTATAAGTTCCTAAGGACAACGTTCAAGTCTCATCTGAACTTTGTATCTCTCCTAGTTACTACCACACAGTAAATGCTTAGTAAATATTATTTATTAAACAGAATGCTTTTCCTGCTCCTTCCTCCTCTCCTCATAGCAGGATGATGATTATTTTGCCACTCTGAAGGAACTAGAAGCTACTCTTAGAACTAAGAGCCTCTCTCTAGAAGTGATTCCAGAGGGGAAGTCCATGCACAACACCTACTACCAGGAGTGCCTCTTCTACTTACATCACTACGGCACCAACCTGGCCATCGTCAGCTTCTACATGAGGCACAACTGCATGAGAGAAGCCCTGCAGCATCTCCAGAGGAAGGTGGGTGATCCAGTAACAGCAGGCAGCTTCTTCCTTTATCCAGCTGTTAGGCTGAGTTCTTGGAAACCATCTCTTTGGGCCGTGGAGTCCCTGGCATAGATTGATAGTCATGAAGATTTCTCCCTATGCAGTGGCAGTTCAGCTGACACACATGTCTTCCTCAGTTTGCCAAGGCCCAAGGAAACAGCACGAGGGGGCTGAAAGGAGAGGTGGGACGTGGAGTTAGCGCCGTGCTTTAAAGGCACCGGTGATCACAGGCTGTCCTTATGTCTTCCTTTCCCTTCGGTAGGAGAGTCCCCCAGAAGTCTTTATTGAAGGCATCTTCCAGCCAAGCTACGTAAGTGGGAAGCTACACCTTTTGGAAAACTTGCTCGAAGACATTGATCCCACTTTGGAGAGCTGGGGAAAGTATTTGATCGCTGCCTGCCAGCACTTACAGAAGAAGAACTACTACCACCTTCTCTACGAGCTGCAGCAGTTCATGAAGGTAACCGTGGTCCCACCCGGCGTTGTTGCTGTAACACTGAAACCATGTGAGTTTGGCTGAGCTGAGCCCACCCGAGTCTGGGGAGTGAGACCCCACAGTTGGGTTCCTGAGTATGCCAGTAAGTGACTTTGGAGTTGAGCTTGGTGCTCTGTGGCTTCCTTAAACACTTTCCAAATGATTCCGTCGTAGGTAAGTCTTGATCTCTGTACAGACGACTCACAATACTACAAGCATGGGGTAGCTGGTAAAAGAATTGTAGACATGCTTAAGAAAGTAAAGGAGAACGATTGAAAAAAACATAGACGTGTCCTAGGGAACGTGCTTGTATAGGATCAAATGTGAAGGCTGTCAAGACTGAAGAAGACCAAAACAATCTGAAACATACGTCAGTGAATGGAACTTGTATGCCCTAGGCCTACTTTTAAAGCACGTGGTTACTCTGAATGAAAGCAGAAGTTAGTCTGCTGTAGGATGATTTGATCGATTCAGCTAATAAAGAGAAAACTTAGAAAAGCTATTGATTTGGCTTTTTAAAGGTATAGCTATTTAAATACTGGTTAGAGGGCTTCATGGACCTGGGCCCAGTAAGAATGATCACCACTACCATTTCCGGATCCCTGATCATCTCTTCCCTTCCCCAGGACCAAGTCCGTGCTGCCATGACCTGCATCCGATTCTTTTGTCATAAGGCAAAGACATATGCGGAACTGGGGGAAAAACTTACCTGGCTGCTTAAGGCTAAGGATCACCTTAAGATCTACCTGCAGGAGGCATCTCGGAGCACAGGGAAGAAGAAACTCACTTTTTTCCGAAAAAAGATGAATGCAGCTGATGTGTCAAGGTAGTAGCAAAATCTAGGGAAAGCTTTAGTCTGGGGCAAGAAGATGAGAGCTAATTGGATTTCGGTGTTTGTTACTTCAGGAAAGCCATGAAGAATATTGAGCATTTCTAGATCTTTGAGAAGAAGCTCTAGCAGCAGTTCTCACTGTGGTAGAAGGGCTTAGATGGTAATTTCTATCCCAGAGATTGGAGAAACTGCAGAAGGGGATTGGAAAGGTTAAGACCACAAATTCTGTAGCTCCAGAGGGTCATTAGAGTCCCTGTTGAGTCTCGTGGGAAATCTGTTTTTTGTCCTCCTGTAGCCTCTCAGAAAAATGTACAGATACGTATCTCTCACCTGCAGAGAGCCAAATCCTATGTCCTTTCTGTTTTTACTCTTGATGCTCCTTCACTTTCCAGCCCCAGTTACATTACTTCTAAAAACTCAGGTGGAGACTGACTGTTGCTTACATATTGCATAATTTCAGGCACATGAATACAGTTGGCCTGCAGCTGGAAGTTACCAGGTTTCTCCATCGGTGTGAGAGTGCTGGAACCTCCCAGATTACAGCCATGCCCCTGCCAACCCTGTTTGGAAACAACAACATGAAAATGGATGTTGCCTGTAAGGTATGTGATAGTTTTTACAGCCTATGCCTAACAAAACACATGTTATACATGTTATAAATGGATGTTGCCTGTAAGGTATGTGATAGTTTTTACAGCCTATGCCTAACAAAACACATGTTATACATGTTATAAGATCATGGACTTAAAGATGGAAGGGACCTGACAGAGGGCATCTAGTACAACCTGGTTATCCTCTACATGAGGAAACTGAGGCCCAAGAGGAAAAGTGATTTCTTCAAGGTCATGCAGTTTGTTGCTAAAAGAGCTGAGATCTGATTCCAGATTTGACTCCAAATTCAGCACCCTTTCCATTGCTCCACGCTGATTTGCTTGAATAACTGGCCCTGTCAGCTGTGTCACTGATTTCCTTTCTCTTCTAGGTAATGCTAGGAGGGAAGAATGTGGAAGATGGCTTTGGGATAGCATTTCGTGTCCTACAGGTATGGCTTGGATTATAATGGGGTTGTACCAAGTGGGCACAGTACCTAAACTTAGTCCAGCAAGAGTCATAGACTCTGAGTTACAGGGAGCCTCAAAAGTCTAATCCATTCCGTGCCTGAACAGGAATCCTTTCTACAATATGTCTGACACATGTTCATCACCCTACACTTAAAGACCATCAGTGAAGGGAAACTTGCCTTCCACAACTTCTTGTTTGTTTTCAAGCCTACCACAGCATCTTCTCGCTCTGCCCTCTTAGCCTGGAATCTTATATCATGTTTCACTGAAAAAAATTGAAACCATGTGTCAAGAGCTCTCTTTTCTCCCCTCCTCCTCAACTCACATTACTCAGACGTCTTCCTCCACCATTTCCTCCTTTAATCTTAGATGAAGAGTTGGACCTTCTTCTTGTCAAGAAAAATCCCTTTATGCACCCTTGACATCATCCCTTCCCAACCTCTGCAGAAAATTGTCCCCACTATCATCTCTTTGTCTGTGTCTCTATCTGTCTGTCTGTCTGTCTCTCTCTCTCTCTCCCTCCCACTCTCCCTCTTCACCTTTTATCCACTGTTTTCCTGTTGCTTACATGTTTTCCTCATCCATAAAAGACTCACTTGTGCTGACCATTCCCAGGACATGTCATCTTATATCACTCCTTTTGTGATTGATCTACATGGGAAAGCTGTTTGCACTGTGCCATGCTTCTCCTTTCACTCTCTTCTAAATCTTATGCAATGTGGCTTTTGGCCCCATTCAGATAAAAATGTGCTGTCCAAAGTTACCGATGATTACTTACCTTCCATATCTGATGGCCATTTCTCAATCCTGATCCTCCTTGGCCTCTCTGTAGCATATGAAACTATCAGTCACCTCCTTCTGTAGCCTCCCTGTCCTCTCCAGATTTTTGTGATGTTACTCTCTACTTGTTCTCCTGTCTGTCCAGTCATTCTTTCTCAATCTACTTTGCTAGTTCTTCATCATATGATGCCCACTAACTGTAGGTGTCCTCCAAGGCTCCATGTCAGGCTTGCTTCTCTTTGGGGCTCAGTAGTGTGTTTCTCAGGGCCCTCAACAGCTCCTCTGGGTTCACCTGCATTCCATATGGATGATTTCTGTATGTTTATATCCAGTCCTGGTCTCTCTACTAAGCTTCAGTTCCACATCTCCACCTTCTTTTGGACATCTCAAACCAGAATGTCCAAAGCAGAACTCATTCTTTTCCCCACAACCTTCCCTTCCTCCAAACTTCCCCGTCACTCTTGAGGATACCCACATCCTTCCAGTTACTCCGGTTCACAACTTTGGAGTCACTCTCACTGCACATATCCAGTCTGTTGCCAAATATTGTCATTTCTACTATCATAATACCTCTTTTTGCATCCTTTTCTCTCCACTAACATAGCCACTAACCCAGTTTACAACGTCCTCACTCATCACTTCATCTCTCCTGGCTGTTGCAATATGCTTCTAACTTGTCTCCGTACTTCAAGCCTCCCCCCTCCCAATCCAGTACATTCTCCACTCATCTGCCAACATGATTTTTCTAAACTATGGATCTGACGTTTTCACCTCCCTGCCAAGAAACCCCAGTAGCTCTTTTCCAGAATTAAATGTAAACTAATTTGTTTGATGTTTAAAGCCTCTTATAGCCTTCTTATACTTACTCCCCTCTGTGCATTCCACAGGCCAGCTAGACTGACCCACTTGTGGCTCCCTGGATGGGATGCTCCATCGCCCATCTCAGTGCCCTTTCTTTCCCTGTCCCCCCCCCCCCACTCCCAACACCACCTTCCTTACTTCTCACCTTCTTGATTTCTCTGGTTTCCCTCGAGACTCAGCTGAAACTCCGCTTTCTAAGGGAGACCTTTTCCTGATTTACCCCCCCTCCCCATTACTCATGCCTTCCTCTTTTAGATTGC